AATGAACAAGCACTCCTAAAATCCCCAATCTTGAGGTTATAATCCTCCATTCATTTCTTCCTCAAATTGATATATTTTGAGAGAAAACTAAGTGTTTTCAAGAGAGTGTTCTTGTCATCCATAGAGCTTAATCTTTTCTCATTTCTACTCTTGTGAGAGTTATTGCTGAGAGGTTGAAGAAGATTGTTCTTCTTGTTGTTCAAGGCTTATGTGATTTAAGTCTTGGTTGTGAAGTCTTGTAGAGAGCATATCTACGAGCGGTTGTGTCGAGGCTTGTGGGATTCAAGTTCTCGAGTTGTAAACGGTTTGTTAAGCACCCGTAAGCTTAACGAAAGTAGTGGTAGCTTCGAGAGAGTCTCTCGGGGAACTGGACTAGCCACGAGGTGGTGAACCAGTATACATCAGTGTGTTCTTTGCCTTCTCTATTTTATTTCCGCTGCACTTTCGTTTATCTTATTTAATCCTGCGAAAATCGGTAAACATTCTCAACAACTCTATTCACCCCCCCTCTAGAGTTGCACGCCTTATCTAACACCATCCAGATTACGACCGGTGAGAAGTTTCACCCCCGTTCTCAGATCCTTAACATGAAATGAAAAGGGTAAAAATTCAACAGACACTTTATTAGACTGACATAATTGGGAGACAGAAACTAGATTACGATTTAAGTCAGGCACACAAAGAACATTTGATAAGGTAAGATTACGAGTGGGTGTGGAAATGGAAGAGTGACCAGTGTGAGTAATTGAGAGACCCTTACCATTGCCCAAACGTATTTCATCTCGACCACCATAGTCAGAGAATGAGTGGAGAGTCTGTGTTGATGGCGTCGTGTGGTGACTGGCCCCACTATAAAATAACCATGCAGGAGAAGGTTGTGGGGAGAGACCTGTGTTATGCACAGCGGGCTGAGACACAAAGCCATGGAACCGTAGAAACTTGGCCAACTTGCGACATTCTTTAACTGTATGACCTGGAATGGAGCAGTATTGACAACCACCTTGCTGCCTGGAGAAACTGCGAGTCTGACTGCCGCTGCCACCATACTGGTTCCGTCCCCGCTGACTACCAGACGAGGAACCAGGCCCGTCGCGGCAACCATGATTGGGGCGTTCAGAGGAAGCAGTGTAATTTGCAGTAGCGATCCCTACTTGACGAGCTTCATCCGACGCCTTGATTTTCCGTTCGTGTTCTTTTAAGATGTTTCCAAGTTCGGTGAAAGGAATTGACGTCGGCCGGAGAAGGGCAGCGGAGGAGATGTGATCATATTCTTCTCCAACTTGATTCAAGATATGAACAACAAGATCCTCCTCGGCAACGGGACACTGAACAAGTGCAAGTTCATTAGCGATACCTTTCATGTCATGAAGATAGTCCGTAATGGTACGATCTCCTCGAGGATTTTTTCCAAGTTTGGATTTGAGCGAGACAATATGCCCACGACTGGTGCTGGCGAAGGCAGAGTGAAGACTCTGCCAGGCATCATGAGAGGTGTCTGCATTGGAGATCAGTGGTTGAACCTGATCAGAACAACTACCGAGAAGAGCACCCACAATGGACTGGTCTTGTCGGAACCAAATTGAGTAGCAAGGATTGATCGCGTCGTTGACTGTTGGAGCCGGGGCAGCAAGTGTGCCGTCAATGTAGCCCAGAAGATCATGTCCGATGAGAGTTGAACGGACCTGACGTTGCCAGATCAAGAAATTGGTAGAGACCAATTTGATAGGAAAGTGAGATTTTGCATGAAGCTGGATCACTTGGGTGTCTTTGGTGATATTAGAAAATGATGGAGCTACAGAAGGAGCCATGCCGGTAGAGCAACAAAATCAGGAAAAAGAGAAGAGAAAGAAATTGGTTTGGACGCAGCTTCGTGCGTGAAGGACCGAAAAAGGAAGAAAAAGAATCCTTTACTGATGCTCCGATACCATATTAAGTCAGAATGCAATGCTTCTTCATTCATCATAATGTATATAAATAGCAACAACTAAGAGGGACTAAGTTTAGATCCCAAATCATAGCCTAAAGTCTAGGAGCTATACATGGTATACAATAAATACACGTGAGATAAGGAAAGCAAATCAAGGATAATCAAGAATAAATATAAATGAATATTTATATTTATTTATCTATAATACATTCAAAGTAAGCGTATATGGTTGAAAGAAACAAAACCAGCAAGTAGATATGCCAAAGAAAGTCTCAAAATGCAGTTTTTAAGAAAAATTGGCCAAAAATCTCACAAAAACTGACAATGGAGCACAAAGATAATTTGAACAAGCTGATTATGGTACTTCTAACACGCTTAACCTCAATTCTACGAATAGGCATGAAAAAAAATTTAAAACTCAAGAAAAGAGGTACTACGACATTCTTACTAACAAAAAAAACACAATGGCATACTAAATTGATTTGATACAAAACTCTCCCCGGTAACGGCGCCAAAATTTGTTGGGGACTTGTCGTGGGGTCCAAAACAAATTAAAAATTTATACATAACCTTAGCTAACCCCCAAGATATAATCAAATAAAAATTATAGCTAGGACAAGTAAGGGTCGATCCCACGGAGAAAATTTGTACTTTTAAAATCAAATTAGGACAAGGCCTGGACTTCTTTATTTGATGATGGGTTTGGGATCTAGCCAAAATCAATATCTTCTTTCCAAACTTGAACTGCATTTTTGGCCTTCTGCTATATTTTTCTCCAAAAAATAAGATATCTGATAATTTTGGGTTAGGGAAAAATAAAATGTAAAAAAATGATTAAAAAAACTACTATTTTTGAAATAAAATTAAACGATTGTAAAAATGAGAATTAAAATAAAACTAAGCTAAACAACTAAAAATTAAACACTAAAAATATTAAAAATGCCTAAAATTGAATAAAAAGAACTAACCCAAAAACGACTTATCAGTCCATCTCTCAATTCATCATGTTCGAGAAGTCGAGCTTTGTGGGCCAATTTTGCTACGTTGGATGTATCCTTTTGACTAAGAAATGAAGACATTCAAGGGTTATGTACGCAATCGTGCTTATCCTGAAGGTTCCATTGCGGAAGCATATATTACAGAAGAGGCAATTGAGTGTTTAGTGAGTTTTGAAGAATCTACAGTAGGATTGCTAAAGAGTGTCCAGGATGCACAATCTAGACCCCTGTCTGGTGCGACGATGATAACACCGACCAATAATGACTCGCACCTTGCACATTTGCGTTTCCTCGAAAACTATGATGATGTCTAACCATACTTTCAGTAAGTTATGTTATTATATTTTTGACAGTTACTTGGCTTTCATTCTTCTTTAGAATATTATTAAAGAATATGATTTTTCAGTGAACATATGGCTGCCTTGGTGAAAACGTATCCACAACATTCTAATGATGAGGAGTGGCTCAAGAACAAGCAAAATGAAACTTTCCCTGGCTGGTTTTGTAGAAAAGTAAGTACTTCAAATCTGTCATGCTATATTATTTGTGTAGGTTGTTGAATAATATAGCAATATTTAAAGTTAATGTACTTGTGGTACTTCGTTTGGACAGATTTCAATAGACTTGCTTGTGGAGAATAATACGGTATCAACAGAGATAATGTGCTGCACTCTCAACGGAATATGAAGAAGGTACGGAAGACGATAATTACATATCTTGAGAAGAAGGAGATTAATGCAATGATGTTCATCAAATGCCACAATTACAGGACATGCATAGACACGAAGCATATAGATCGTTGCAACCGGCATTCCACGTCCCAATGATTGAGGTTGGAAACAATTATCCTTCTTTCCAAAGTCTACAAAAAGCTGTGTCATTATGGACATTGCAGAGCACAAACAGTTTCACACAGAAGCAAGATGGAGCTGTTATTGGAGAGAGACTTGTGTATATGCCCCCCAATGCACTTGGTTCATACAAGCAGCAGAGAATGCTGGGAGTACTATATGGACCATAAAGCAATATCAGAGGTATCACCAGTGTAGACGAATTGTTAACAAGTGAGCTCATAAGTGCCCTGATTGGTCCAAAAAATTGAAGAAGATGTCGATTATAAAGTGAAACTCATAATGAGGGATGTTTATGAGTTATCTTTGTATCTTCTGATTCATACCCTTGAAATACTCAAACTTATTGTGTTGATCACACTCTTGAAACATCCCACTTGACCAATCTTGAAAAGATTGAATTCCATTACTAGTATCAAGATATTGAACCATGAAAAATTTGTCTTAACTCACAATGTAATCCCCAAGATGTTTTTTGATACCGATATTTGAAAACTATACCCTTGGAATACGTGACTCGATCACAATAGTAAAACTACCCTGACTTGAACATTATGTTAAACCTCTCTAGGGGAACTGTTGCGAAACAGTTAATGCGATTGCGTTATCTATGAAGATTATTATCGATGATGATTAAGAAACTTTTTTTTTTGACCCTAACAAGGAAATGTGTGTGCAACAACCAGAGAAGAAATGATGTCACAAGAACAAGCTGAATCATTCAAACGAAAATCCCGAACCTATATGCGATGTTGGTGTAAGAACTAGAGAAGATTCCTCACTCTATGAATTCATGAATTGAATCACGTACTGAAGATATTATCTTCTTCACTCGAAATGTGATCAACCATAGTGTTCCATCAAACCCGTCATTATCATGAACGTATCTAGATATATTCCAAAATCGATGAAGAAGGTTGAATAGGACAAGACGTACATGAAACACTACTCGAACGGCATCACCTATGAATACAAAGACTTATTAATGATAATGAGAGCTACCATGAAGTGAATGAAGAAATATTCCGATGTAAATCGATGATCAATCGACAGTACTTCCTCGTAAATGATGACAAATTCCATATCTTGAGAATCTTGGACCACTAAAAGCCATTGATGTACTTACGAAATTATTGTTGAACTATGTGAACGAGATGAAGATCACTTAAGTAACTTGAGAAAGTTACGCTATGACGTATGAATTATATAACCTTCAAATGCTCCATTACATCTATCGCAGACTTGAAACTACAAAGGCTACTAAAGGACTTTCGATCGAAGAAAGAATATTGTTAATCGACATTGTACAATTGAGAATCGTGAATGAACGAAGTGATGTGCAAATATGTCAAGTATGTTCTAGAATATGATGTTATACCCTACAAAGGACTCTTGGTTATGGATGTTGAATCTGAACGGGAACCTGCAAAAAGGATCGTTGGATACCTTCCTTAATCTAAAATTATTAATCTCTTGAAGAAAGAACAAGTCTGATAACATTGACAGTTTGAGAATACGTATCTGTATGGATAATGACGAAATTATGGTTTAACCAAATAAACATGTCATGGTCATGATTAAATATGATCACTACAAAATTTTGAACGTTGAGCCTTAAAAGAATTTCGAGGACGAAATTCCTTTAAGGGGGGAAGAAATGTAACGCCCCAAAACATACCCTAATATTTATTGAATTAAATATTCAATTAAATAAATTTGTTTTGATTAAAAATAAATTGTTGTTGGGCCTTGGG